TGTCTTGGGTAAATAGATGGGCCCTGAATATGGTCACAGAACTGCTTATAGGCATAGATTTTCCACACATACTTCAAATAAAAGTGGTTGTTTAATACTATACATGTATGTTGTACTGTAGGAAATGTACAGAAGTTTTAGACTTTCTGATGCTTCTCTACCCTAGAGACAAGCAGAAGATGCAGCTTTTCATGTGACAGGGTTTTTCTTTTTCTTATCCGTAATAATACTTCTGTTGTACCTTTTTTGTATTTTTTTATTTTTTTTTATCCTTCTTGAATAATTTGACATTCAGGTTAGGCAGTTCTTGAGATTTTGTCAGATATTATTACCTTCTCTGTGAAAGTATGTATATGGCTCTGTGTTCTGCATAACCCAGGCTTGTGTAAGGATAAAATATTTAAAAATATGCAGTTGAGTTTTCTTTACCTTGGCCTTATTAAGTATAGAAAATAACCACTTGTGCTTGTGTTGAAGGAAAGTGTTTCTTTATGGGTTAGTGAAATGAGCTATTCAAAAACACTAAATCCTTCCAAAATACCCTTGCGGAGCTGTCAAAGTCAGTGAGACCTCGAGTTATATTATCAACAACATGCTGTAAACACTGCCAGAGTCTGAGGGAAGCATGAGTTTGACACTAAGCCTATTCAGAAATGACCTAGCATTCTCTTAATTAATTAACAGACATTGTCAGCTTGGGATGTAACTTTCCTTCTCTCATTCTTTTCAATGTGCTCACCCTTCCAGCAACAGGTCAGTGTGCCTACGTGTGCCTGTTAATGAATGCAAGCATCATGAAAATAGGGGTGGAAAGTCGCTTGAATTTTTCTTCATGTGTTTTCCTCTTGGCTGATAGAGAACAGAACTAATCCTGTAGGCATTTCTTTAATACCAATCCCATTTTCTTCTCCAGAATTCTCTGAGAAACAGTAGTTTGAAAGATCACCTCTTGTAAATAAACTCATTCCATATGAACCCAGCTGTTGCATTAGAAAACAGTGTCAACACAAAGTAGAGTACATCATAGCCCACTTGCTGAAAAACGTTATCTGTATTAACATAACAACTGTAAATAATTCTCCCTATGGCTAAGTTAAGCAAATTTGTCCTGACCTGTTTTTTCGGTACCCTATTGAGATTTGGGACACTTCCTATTTTAAATGGACTAATTTACCCAACCCTGCATTCTTATTTGCATTGTGTACACTATTATATCTATGCTTACTATATTTGTTACATATTTTTAAACAAAAAACTATGTGATGGTTGAATGTGAATATTATTTTCTGTTTGTCTGACACAATATCTAGTTCTGTTTAAACTACAGAGTGTAAAACATCTATTATGAATACTATGGAATTTTAGTCAGGTTTAATGAAATGTGTCACTACCTAGGAAAAATATCCATTTTTCCAAGTTAGTAATTTCAGAAGATGAAAATTAAATACAAAGGCAGATGACTGGTTTGGTTCCATGAAACCATACAGGCTTGTAACTTAGATTGTAGTGTCTCGGTAATAGAAATCCCTACCCAAGAAAAGTGGTTGGGGTGGGAAGAAGGACCGTATATAACATTGGTAGCTCTTCTCAGTACTTTGAGAATAAAATTATTTTTATCTGAGCCAGTACCATTCTTCAATAGTTTTAAATATCCCTTAAACCTCCTAGAAATCTTTGTCACACTAGGAAGGAACAAAGTGGATGCTTTCAAAATTATAAGGAACACGTGACATACTTGTTGATTGTATTGAACTAAAGTGTACTGACCTCTGTATCCCAGAACAGGCAGGGAAGGAATAGATTATCTTACAGTAAAAGTCTAGGTGTAAGTCTATTTGAGATATCTTTGGGGTACTGCCATTTTATTTTCCTTTTCAGAAAAAGGTCTATGTTGAAAACCTCTTAAACTAGCAAAATCTGAAGAGTTCTTATTCCTAGTGTTCATGGTTTTGTTCACCTTTTTTGTCACTTCATGCAACCTTAAAGAGGAGACTTGCTCATGACATAGACAACTGGAAATGGTAAAGGCATGTTCGGTGCCTACCACTGCTGTGGATTGTTACAAGCAATGATTTTTCAGTGCTGCTGCTGTAAAGGGCATTTACTGCCAGAGGAAACATTTTCCTGTGGTAGAGAGTTTTCATTACTCAAATTAGATCTCTTCCAAAGAAATAAGTGAAATGACTTTTTATTATTTATTAGTGCTGCTAACATGAAATGTGTTACTTCAAAAGAGAGCAAGCCAAACTGAACAGATGAAGGTCAGCCCTTTGCAAGTAGCCTGCACACTAGAAAAATGAGCTTCCCCCAAGTCTATAAAATGTATAACAGACTTTTGAGACTTAATAGTTAAGTTGATGGAGAATAGCCAAAACTACCAGTGCAGCGGATTAGGAAAAAGTCTGCAAGTACAGCTTGAGGTACATGAAATCCATACACCATTTGGAGAGCAAAAGTAAAGGCTATGAAGAAAACTATGCTGCCAGCTAAACAGGCTCCTATTTCATTCATAGTCTTAACAGAGCAGCGTGGTGCAGCTAGATAAAATCCCTGCTCCGACTATACCCTAGCATAGCAAATGAGAACATAGAAAAATTACAGTTCCCCATACCTGGTGGCCTTTTGTATATGGGTGAAGAAAATAAATAAATAAATTCTGCTATTCTTCCCACTTTCCATCCTCTTTCTGGCAAAATATCTCTTTTTTCCTTGTTCAATTCATATTTATCTGATATCTCACTAACCTTGCCAACTAGTATGTGTTAAGAACCTATCACAGAAGGTTACTTTTTAGCTCTGAATCGCCGTGGGATGCCTGAGCATGTAATTTTTCTTCTTGTTGGTATTCCTGGAGTGTCTGTTGTGTTCCTGCTTCAGTAGAATCATTTACATCATTAACACCATGTTAAGACCACAATGATTTCAAAATGCAATGGTGATTTGACCTCCTAAATAGTATTCTTTTGGATGAAAAATGTATGGTGAAAAATTAAGGCAATTATTCTAAGGAGAGGCATGAACATTTCGCTATACTAAGTGGTGATTACAGGAGACCCAAAAGATGTAACAATGACAGTAACTCGAATGCTCTCCACTGACTCCCTTGAGATCCTAGAAAGGGTATTTGAAATCTCTCTTCTGCCATTGTTAACTGCTGAATTGTGTGGCCAGAGGACAGGGAAATGGGCTGGCATCAAGTTCAGGTGTGGACCCTGGACACAGCACTATGGCTGGGCTGTTGTGTGTTGTCTCCCCAGCGGTGCTCACTCCTGGCAGCCCCCTGTTTCCATTAACACGGGAATGGCTCAGTTTTAGAGCAGACAACAGGGCCTAGGGAAGCAACACGAGACAGCTTCATTTTACAGACCAGTCTGATATATTCCATATGGTGTGAGAGCAGCTTTTGACTCTTTATCTAGGCAGGGTTGGATGGAGAAACTTTGAAAGCGAGGAAACAGAAGGCAAAAGGAAAAGTCAGAAACCATCGTCTGGTTTCCAATAGTTGAACACTATTTGGTTTGGCTTTCAGACATGGCAATTTAGCAACAGGAAATGTCAGCTCATTAGAGCCATCGCATGGCATCATATGATGATAGCAGTCATTCCTGCTGGCTGGGGTCCAGCGATCGCACTCGGTGGGGAAACGGCATGATATGATATGAATGTCTCAGTTTCATTTTTAAGACGGGACAGTTTAGTGGGCTGGTTGACTTGGCAGGCTGTTAACAGAATTAATTTGATTGCCTTGGCAGTTGTAGGAGGATGCATGAAGGAAACCTTCTGGCTCTGCTGCCAGCATTTAATACCAAATGATTATCATATACCATTGAACTGGTGCTGGACGAAGTATGCGTGAGGGCTTGCAACAACTTTACCAAAAATAGTAAGTGCCATTTGAAGTTGGCAAACACGTGTGCTCAAGAGAAAACAGGCTTTCCAGTTAAAGCCAGTCAGGACTTCACCCTGCTAGGCCTGTTACTTTTCATGTTCCTGGACTGTGTCATTTTTCATCCATGCTCCAGTTGTGAAAGTGCTGCTTTGTATTATCTGCTGCTAAATTATATTAAAAGCCACGACTGTCTGCTGTTGATGGAGTCTGTTTCCACTGGAGGATGGATACCTGCATTAATGATAGCTGGATTTTCTGTTCAGCAGCTCATAGTCTTGGCATCCAGCATGTTATCTTGCCTGAAAACACCTTCAGAATATGGCACAGGGAGCTGTGTTTTATATATGTAAACGTTGTGGCTTTGTTTGGAGTGAAAGAAAATGCCATTTGGACTGTGATTCTTTTGTACAAATACCTTTCCTTTGGGTACTTAGTACAATTAGGAGGGTGTTCAAGAAGAAGCTATGCATCTAGCAAGGTTTAACCCCGGGGTTTGGTCCTGTGGAGACAGTGGTGGCATTTTTGCCACCATTTTGCCAAGTGACTAATGGTAAAACAGGTGTGAGCATTTTTCATCCAGAGGACTAAGAGCATTTAAAAGCATTCAGGAGAGCCGAGTGCCTCTCCAAATTCAAAGCTGCAACTCGGTTTCCATGATCAGGCCAATGTTGGTTTCACATCCAAAACCAACATAAAGTGGAATATCTATCTCGAAACTGGCACAATATCTGTGTCTGAGGAAGAAGTTTTCTGCTAGATTTGAGCTGAAACGCAGTCAAAGACCCCTGTTTTTGAGCACTAAAAGGGAGCTGTGCTGGATCCAGACCCCAGCAAGCTTTGCACAGAGCTGGCACGATGCTGGTGCGGATGGGGAAGGGTCAGGTGTATTTTTTCTGCGGTACAGATCTGTTCCAAGAGCACCAGCTCTGCCTGAGAGCTGAGAGGGGTGGTGGGTTCCCACTTCTGGCCAGCACATCTCCTGGCCTGTGTTTATAAAGGCACTGTGCAATGTTATCAGCAAGTTTGTTTAACGTTTCCAATGAAACACACTTGTTTTGCAAAAGCCAGGTTTTTCTTTTTCATGCATGTTTAACGAAAGAAGAGGAATGTGTTCCCAAGAAACATTCTGAATCACTTCAGCTATTTTTATTTGGCAATATTCAAAAGGGTATTACTTTGGCAGCAGTGGCAGTATTATCATTACTTCTCTTTGATATTCTTTGCTCATGATTACTGTGAATAGAACAATCCCAGGTAGAGAGGGGTTCTGCTTCTTTGCTGGGCTACTTTGCAACTCTCTAAGGTTAGAAAAAATACACTTTCTCTCCAGTATGGCTTTTCAGAACCTGAAAAAAAAAAAAAGAGAGAGAGAGAGAAAAGGTACAGAGTGGGAAAAAAATAGATTATACAAGATTTTCTGTTGCAGATGTTAAAGATGTTGTTAAAGTTATATAAAAATCAAAACACCAGAATTTAAGAATGATCAAAATTTGTAATCTAGGGAGAAAAAAAAAAAAAAAAAAAAAAAAAAAACACACAAAAAAAAAAAAGGAGGAATTGAACTGGAACCATAAACAAGTATACAACTGACCTTAAATCTTCCTTGCTATCTGTTTCTGATGCTGTTGTTTTAGTGGGGCTTGGTTTCCTATCCTTTATGAACCTTATTAGTAGCATTTATATCTCAGTGCTATATATGCTTACATTTTTTTCCAATAACTACAGTTTGCACATTTGTGGGTACATACATCCACACAAAAACGGGAGCATGGAAAGCTCAGGAGATACTAGTGGAAGTTATTATTAAGCTAATATGTTAATGGTAATTTCTGTGCAGTAAATAGATATTTTATCCAGATAAATCAGATCTCCTCAGACAACAGCGAAGACTTTTTTTTTTTTATCCAAACATCACCAGAACCAATTTATGGCTGCTGCAGCCCACTAACAGGTGGTTTGTCTGCATGAGATCATACAGCAGCAGCCATCCAAAGGATTGCTGGTACCCCACACTAAATCAGACTGATCTGCTTTAGTAAGTCACTACGTTATTGAAGGAGCCATAGTGCGACCAGCACTCCACAGAATTGCTCATGTGCTCTTCTTCCTTCTGCACACCCACAAGGGTAAATGGGAGGGTGAAATATATGGGGGAAAAAAAAATAGATATGCTAATTTTATTCAGTGTGTGTCTTGCAAGCCTTCTCATCCACACACCACTAGGCAGCTTTGGTGGCCATTGCACCGGGGAAGGAAGGCAGGACAGGGGTGCAGCTGGTGTCTGAGTTGCATGGCTGTGCACAAATACACACCAGCAGTCCAAGCAGGCCTCCAGAGCTGGTCCTGGTGCACAGCTGGCAGGGGATAGGGGTGTTGTCCCAGTGGCTTCAGACAGGGTTTCTTTGGATGACAGGAGGAGAAAGAGTGGTAGAGAAGAAAGGCTGGTAGGAAATAATGAGGTATAAATATTTTACATATGAATACACAGCAGTCAAGTTCCCTAAGAAATGTCACAGCAAGATGTTTTCTTCTGAATATCTTTGGTAGGTGGGACTTGAATCTTCTGGGATGTTCTTTAAATAAATAAATAAATAAAATAAAAGCACGGAGTTCAGAGCACAACAAGTCTGCCAGGACAACAGTGACGGTATCAACCACAATTTTATGCTAAGATAACTCGGAAATAAGTTAAATGCATGTTCAATGGCTACACCTGGACTCAGCAATGCCTGACATTATTTTTGTGGTTTTGCATTCATATTTTCCTAGTTTTTTTCATGTCTGCTTTCTCACATTCACATGAAGAGCCCACACAACCAGGGAGAGCTGGCTGACTAATGGGTGATAGAGAGGAAACAGTGACAGTGAGTAAAGCGCTCTCAGCAGCACAAAGAGGGGAAAAAAGGGTGGGGGAAGAACGGTCTGAGCTGTGGTAATCAAAGGAATTAGTGTTAATGTCAACGGGTGGAAAGATTCAGAAAAATGTAACCATTGTGCAGTTCCTCCCCGTGGGGCAGGAAGGCAGCAGTGGGGCACATGGGTCCAGCAGAGAGTGGGATGCAGGGGCTCACCCCTAACTGCTTGTTGCATCTTCCCAGGGTCATCGTTTGCACTCCTGAACACATTTCATCTGCTGGCTCTGCTGTAACCCCACAGCTTGAAATTAAACTCGGTGTCTCAAATGGGCATAGGATGTAGTAAGGCGGCTGTTGAGCATGAAATGTCACACATTGTTAAGGCTTGTGCTCTAATTAACTTGAAGTGGCATAGACCAGGATTGTATAATTGTGTCCTTATTAACACGTGAGGCTTGACAGGAATTACTGGGCTTGGTTAATGTTAATGTTCAACAAGTTAATTTGATGTAAGTGAATCAATATCTTTCCTAATGTCACGTTAAGTTAAACATACATAAAATATCAAAAAAAAAAAAAAAAAAAAAAAAGCTAGCTTTTCTTCTTATTGAGGCTGATGTGTCTTAGTTTTTTCTAAAAGGAAACAAAAGTAGGAATCTATTCCTATCCATAGCATTTGAGATCAGGTCATCTGAGGCTTTCTCTCTTTATTCAAACTGACTTGTCTCTGATACTTTACTACAGAGTTAGACAACAACTTAGTCTCTGAGAAACATTGTTTCCTATGTGCATATTTTGAGGTGCAAATTCTGTTGAATGATCCATTACTGTTTTATAGATCTGGTGCTCACATATCCCTTGTCATTAATCCTGGAAACAATTTCTAAGGCTGGAATTCCATTTTTAAGTGCATCTTCTTCTCAGGGCGGACCGATTAAATCCACTACCTGAGTTCCTGCTCAAAAGCCAGCGCTGCTTGCAGGTGGAGACATCAACACTGTGTACCAACGTTAGCTCAGTCTTCCCAAAAAGCACAGGGATTGCTCGGCTGAGTCCAGCTCCATCAAAGTAGTTTTACATGGTTTTAAAAACAGCCCAGTGACATGTAGAGGAAACATGCAGCAGCCAATTTGCTCTTTTTGCATAGCTGGGGGCCAGAGGTTGGAGAATAAATTCAGTCTGCAGTGGGTGAATGTGGGAAGGGATCCCTGGGAAGCAGTTTGGAGCATTTTGGTGAGATGCCTGGAGTGGACTGTCAGATCATTAAGTATTATTAGCTGTTCTAGGGATGGAGGTAAGGCTGACTGGCCTGTAGTTTCCTGGGTCCTCCTTCTCACCTTGTTTGATGACTGGGGTGGCACTGGCTTTCTTCCAGTCCTCAGAAACCTCCTTTGATCTCCACAACCTTTCAAAGATCATGGAGAATGGCCTAACAGTAACATCCACCACCTCCCTCAGCACTCTGGGTCCATGGATTTGTGGGTGTCAGGTTTGCCTAAATGATCTCTAATCCAATCTTCCTCGACCAAGGGAAAGTCCTCCTTTCTCCAGACTTTCTCTCTTGTCTCCAGGGTCTGGGATTCCGGAGAGCTGACCTTACCAGTAAAGACTAAAGCAAAGAAGGCATTCAGTAGCTCTGCCTTCTCCACATCCTTCATCACCAGGGCACCCACCCCATTCAGCAGTGGGCCCACATTTTCCCCAGTCTTCCTTTTGTTACTGATACATTTGAAGAAGGCCTTCTTAACGTCCTTGACATCCCTTGCCAGATATAATTCCAAGTAACTCTTAGCCTTCCTTGTCACCTCCCTGCATACTCTCTCAACAATGTTCCTGTATTCCTCCCAAGTGTCCTTTTTTCTACATTCTGTGTACTTCCTTCTTCTGTTTGAGTTTTTCCAGGAGCTCCTTGCTCACCCATGCAGGTCTCCTGCCCCTTTGCTTAACTCCTTCCTCACAGGGGTGCATGTATGAAGCATACAATGTTCCAATGTTGTTTTATAACTTACCCTTCTTATTTCCTGTGTTCAAGGAGGGCCCAGCCTCTGCTTAAAACCAGGGCATCATTTCATTACTCACTCACTCTCATGGTGTGATTTTACCCTAGGACTTGTGTTGTCTTGCAAAACTTTTGCTTTCTTCCTTTCCTCCTACAGAGAAAACACTTTCTCTGAATGCATAGTTCCATGCCCACTAATACCAGGCTTATCCGGTATGAACCATCATCACCCTCTTTTACCCAATTTTAGAGGGGAGAATATCATGTAGGGAGCAACACTGCCCCGGCTGGGAATAGGAAGAGATTTTTGGAAAGTCCATATTCCCTTGGAAGCAGCACATTTTTTTCTCTTTGGCATATGTATAGGGACTTAATGTACTTGTAACCTGAGCTCTGGCAATTGTCAGTGTGAAAAGCAAACAGGAACACTCCGTTCTAGTGCGTATTTTTCAAACATATTCAAAAGGCAAGTGGTACTGCAGAAAGCATATTTGCCAATGAAATACAGATCTTTCACTACAGTCATGACTGCCCTGCTGTGTACACTAGCATGCAGTCTGAAGGAATCTCCTTAGGATGGTTGAAGCCTGTTTTTCCTTTGCAAGATGAAAATATATGGAAAAGCAAGATTCACAACCAGATGAGGGATGCTTTGGAATACTCCTTCTGTCTAACAAGCACAAGATTTCCTCTGTGTACAAAGAAGTAGTTACCTCCATTCATGCTTACAGGAGTTTACAGATCAAGTTTCCTGGCTCTCCTGGATGGATGCAGGCTACATACCATGGGATTTTTTTCACCCGTTAAATATATCTTATATAAGATATATAAATATATCTTTATTTCTTGATCTGTTTCTACAGATCTTGAGAGCTTTCCAAGTGTAACTTCACATGTATTACCATAAAGTGACTTTTGTATTATTTTACAAGGAATTTTTAATTACACAAGGTGATATGGAGGTCTTCCATTTCTGATAGCCTCAATATATACAGATAGTACTGAAGAGAGTCACACAGAATACTACAAATATAACAGTGCAAGCAGACTTCAAGTGTTTTTAGACATCTAAGATTTGTGTTTGCATAAACACAGACCCCAGGTTTCAAGTGTAAAACACCACATGATGAGTCTGCCCTCACCACCTCAGTCTGTGGGGAAGAAGCACGGCAGCGGAGGCTACGTTGTTTTTTGTCTTTTACCACCTTTAGATGTCAAAATGGCAAGGTACTTCTCTTATGAAAATAGATCCATCTAGGAAATGCTTCCTGTCACTGAGTGCTTCCTGCACGATAGCTAGCCTCATCCTGGCCTGCTTTAAGGACAGATAACATCAGGGTAGGTTTTGCCTTGTCAACAGGTAAATTAGGCAATTAGACTTGGGGGTGTAAATTCAATTGGGTCCTCTGCTGTTTGTTTGTTTGTTTGTTTGTTGTTTGTTTGTCAGAAAAAGTGTTTAAAAGGAAGGGATGGCAGGGATGAGAGGCAGCTCTGAGACCACCTCTGGAAGAAAGGATGATATCCACCGCTCACTGCCCTCGCTTTGGCTGGGACTTCAGGGTGATGATTTACTTCCCTGCCTCTTTGTAATTTCCTTTACATGATATTTTACACCCACCAGGTACGTGGTCAAAAGCCTGAAGTTTAAGATGGGGGTGAGTCAAATCCAAACAACACTCAGTATTTTTCCATTCCTTTCCTGACCCTTCTTCACTGAGTGTGAGTCTCTGGGAACCAGCTGTTGGAGATTGGCTGTGTCCATTCCCTTAGCCTGGTGTAACTCAGTCTGGCATTTTGACCTTCATTTCAGGCAAGTTTTAACCAGGCAGATTATCACTGAGCTTTCCTTCCTAGGACTTCTGTTAAAGTTAGTATACACCCAGTGGTCTTAAATCTAACATTTGGCTGGAAGAAGGGGAAGGGGAAGGGAGGGGAAGGGAAGGGAAGGGATTAGTAGCAGGCTGGTATGGAATATCTACAGTTGGTAGAAAACACCTGACAGCTGAAAAAAATGTCCCACCACTACTGTGCATAATGCCTGTTATGTTCACCCCTGAACATAGTTTATGCCTTTAGGATAGAGTTTTATAGTGTACATCATGATGTAATTAAACAAAGTAAAGGGACTTTTTTGGTATACTTTCTTTTTAGAAGGGGATATTCACTGAAGTTAACCCAGAGCAATGTCCATTGGACTGCCCAACATATACATGTGCTGTGTAAGATAGATAGCGTCATTTTCAGCTTTTTGCAAACCTGACTTTTTATATTTGATGGTAAAATATTGTTAGAATGCATTATCAGAGGTTACATTACAACAAGACTGCCTGGAAAGCAATGCAACAGTGAGCAGCCTGAGGCGGCACGGACCTATCACTCCCAAGAGCATCTCTGAAGCTGATGTTTCACATCTCTGGCACAGAGCTGCAGTCTTTAATGACCTGAGCGTGATAATAACCGTCATAATAATGCTATTTCCACAGAGCTGTAATAACAATTTTGCAGCTAATCCTTGTTTGCGTTTCCCTTTGTGGCACTGGCTGGTGGGGTGCGCAGCCGGGGGGCTGGGTGTGACGGCGGGGTCTTTCCGGCATGCACCATTATTTCCAGATCAGCAGTTTTCTTTTGACCTGTGCTAAACTCTGCCCTATTCAGAGGAATAATGCCCGCAGGGGAGATACCTCCAGTACAGCTTTTAGTCCCTTTGTGATGTCTCTCCCAGATCTTTTTTTTTTTTTTTTAAACAAAAACTTTGGTATAGAAATGAAGCTGAAAGATTTGCGTGACAGGGTTGATTAAGTCCCAGCTGTGCCATACAAGTCTCGGTCCTGAAAAGTCAGAATGTTTTCCAAGGTGGGCAGCACAAGGTCTGTTCAAGGGACAAGTTTCATGTTAAAGAGAGAAGTAGCATCACCCTTCTTCCTGTGGGCTAAAAAGCCACTAGGAGTCATACTTCCTCACAGCACAGGAGTATTTAATGGGAAGGGGACTGTGCTTGTCAGCAGCACCCTTCTCCACATGGAGGCCCTAAAAGTTCAATGCAAAGCACAGATATGGTGCTATCTGCAATAGCTTTCATGACACTTGAATTCAGAAAAATCTTGAAAAGGAGGATGTAGTATTGAATTGCGGAGCAACAATCAGCACTTGAAGCAGTTATTGAAGTACCACAATTTTGGACCACCCTTAGAGTTCATTGAGGCCTGGGTAGATCAATGTGCACATCCCACCAGCTGCTATGTCAGAGGATGCATCAGGAGGCTTTTGGAGGTGCTACCTGGCAGCAGGCTCAGCAACACCACTTGCCATGTGGCTTTGCTGCATTCATCCCAAATAGAAGTAGAAAGGATCTGAATGTTATAAATATCGTTTTCTTTGTGGTGGTCTAAGATTATTTAGGGTGGTCTAGGAAGTCTGTTGAAAACCTTTAATCGTCTTGTGAGGGCAAGTCACTGAAGCTTCTGCCTTGTTAGCTCCCCCAGAAATATGGGGCTGGCCTTCTAGAGATACTACTGGGGAACACTTTTTTTTCCTCCTTCTTTCTTTCTTTATTTGTTTTGAAAAAGAAAAATAATACAATTTTTGTCCAAAAGAGAAATTTGTTTCAGAGGCAATACTGTATTCTTCTCGCCCACCTCTAAGCACAAAACCAGTCGAGAGACACCTCAGAAACTCAGATGGCACCAGCAAGTCTCTCATCAGACTTTGTGGGAGTTCTGGGGTGGCCATCTCAGGTCCTTGTGCTCCTCAGGGAGCCCTGCAATAGCCATAGCATGGGGAAGCCCATGCCACCCCTTAGGAGAGCCAGTCCAGCCAAAAAATCCTCTCCAAAGACCATAAAGATCTCAGACTGCTCCCAAGGGTTAACATTGCAAGTCAACATTTTTGTTTTGTCAACACTTTCAGCCACGATATTTTAATGACAAATTGACACTGGTTTTATATATAAGAGGTCATATCAATTTTTTCTTTTCAGTTATTTTGTTTCCAAAGGTACGGAAAGAAACCTTTAAGCTGCATCTATTAAGGCATTCCTCCACAGAGAGAAGATCATATTGCAAACAAGTCCATGAAAAAATAAATAGTATTTATTTAGTTCTTTGCCATTAAGACTCTGTGTGTTCCCAGTTGTTGCAGACTACTACTGCTGTGCCCCTTCCAGCAGCTTCACAGTTGTGAGTTTGCCACACAGTTCTCAAGATGATGACTGTGTGAGAGTCATTCATGAACTCTAAACCCAGAACATCACTGGCACTGCTCTCCAGCACTGGATGGGCTAGCAATTTATTATATCAACACAATGAATAAACCAGGATGTTTCCCCAGCACAAACAGAACACTTTTTTCCAAGAAACACACATTACCAAACTTCAAGTTGAAGTGAAATCATCGCATTTGTTGGATTATCTTGTGAACAGAATAATCAGAGACTCCAGAAGACTGGGTTATATTATTGACTTTGCTGATGAGTCATTCTGTAACCTGAGGCAAGTTACTTACCACCTCTCTGCCTGCAACTCCTCATATAAACTGAAGAAAAATCAAAGAAAATCAATATCCTTCCCCACCCTTTGCTTTTGCTAAATGCTTTAAAATATTCAGGTGAAAGGCATTAGGCAAGTGAAAACCGTCGTGCACTGGAAAATATTTCCATTGTTGCTAGTTTACGGCAAGCCGCGAGAGGAAAGCAACAATTTGACACCATCACTTTGAAGATGGGGAAAGAAGCAATGCTACTTGAACTAAAAAGGGATTTGTTTTATTTTGTTAATTGCAGTCCTTTTGAAAAATGATACTTATCCTGCCAGTGAAGTGCTAATTAATGTTAGGATGTGGTACACCATATAATAAAGGCTGCTGTTGAGGAATGTGAATGAAGAAGAAATTGTTCCTGAGGTGTTGATGGGTAAACAAGATTGGTGTAGAGGTGGGCCGCAGGTAAGCTTGACTTTGCATTTTTGCAAGCTGCTGCCTTTCTACTTACATTCATTTTTAGATATTTTTCCATGACAGAAAACCGAGGAAGAGAAAAATCCTTCACTTTTGGTCACCACTAACATTCTTGCTCTGGTCCTTGGATTTTTAGATGCAGACAACTTTAGGATAGGATCTCAGAGCAGTAACATAAGAAATTGTTATGTAATGAACCATCATCATTTTAAAAATGTAATTAAGATTCTGTTTCCCACAATGCAATTTTTATTTGGCAGTTTGTGTATTTGTCTGATTTTATATGCTACTGTGTAATTTTGGCCCCATATTAATGAAAACCTTCATACTCACTTGATAATTATTTGCATTTGTGTTTAATTTCTTCATTTTTTTTTTCTCAGTCTTTTTTGTTGTTCAGACAGAAACACACCATATAATTCAGGGAGCAATTTTGGGTTTCTCTCTGCTCCCCAGCTACTTAGGGAAATTTTGTCTGTCACAGAGGTTTATGTCTTTGTATTAAAGACTTTCCCATGTAGAAACATGGAGGAGATTTTGCTGCTGTAACAGCGTGTGGCAATTTGTGGCAATACCCCCCATGTTTATCTTCTGCAGCCATCCTTGACTTCTCCACTGCTGGTAGTGGGAACCCCCCAGAAACATGAAATTGAATCACAAAAACTATACTATAATTGATTGTAGTAACTTGTAAAAGTCTGAGGAATAAAAATAAATAATAAAAATAATAATAATAAAAAAAAAGGTTTACTGCTTATGGATTTTATTGGCTGCATTAGCTAAGAAAAACACACAGCTTTTTCTTACCCACCTCCCTGTGTGAGTGACACAGGAGCGGTGATCCTGCCACTGGCGGATGCTCTGCTTGGAGCCAGTATCTCTTCAGTCTGAATACTGGGTGAAACTAAGGTATGTTACATGGCAAGAAGGAAAGCTTCATGTGCCTTTATTTATCTATCTATTTATTTATTTATTTTCCCAGCCATACTACCAAATGCTTTTGGCTTGGATAGCTGGAGACCTGTTTTGGTCCTTCACTGGATGGCTTCCCTTGCCCACTCTTCTTCCTGGTTGTCTTCAGCTGTGCACAGAAGGTATCTCAGGATCAACTTCAGATGTATGCCAGTTCTGGCACATCTAACCAAACATAAAGCATGCTAGTGATGTACTTAAGCTATCAGACTGAAATACTAATCGTCTCAGGCTTAGATTTCATATGGCCATCTAAACATCTGTATGAAGTATAACCCGCAGAGACAGACTTCAAAGGGTGGAAAGGCAAATGACTTCGTTGCATGCCTCGTTTCACCCAGAGAAGTTCAGCCATAATCTCCTGGGAAATTCAGTAAGCTAGGTAAGATTTTACAGACGCCCCCACACTTTTTTTGTTTTGTTTTGTTTTGTTCTGTTTTTGTTTTTTGTTCTCATATGGGAGGTTAAGCACAACGAACATATCCTTCTAGACAGAACAGTTTGCAGGTAGTGTTAGTGTAGGATCGTGCTTTTCAACAGGTGTTTTTCATTGAGATATTGTAAAGAAAATCTTCCAGCTGTGAGGATGTTGACATCACAAGCTACCCAAGTGGTACTGAGTTTAATGCCATGGCAGAAGCTGCCATTCCTGAGGGCTGAGGGTGAGGGCTGACTCTTACAGGCTGCATTGAAAAACAAGCACGTGAATGTTTCTGCAAATCTGGGCTCAACTATTTCACGAATCTTTCCCAGTGGATGGGGCTCAGGCTCACCAACCACAATAAGTTGTGTTCACTTCTAAGGAAGGAAGGCAAATATGAGTAAGAGCAGTGGGGGAGGAGTATCTTTTATGCTGGAAGAAAAATAGGAAGAAGATATATTGAAATAGCTGGGAGTGCTTACACGCATTACTCAAAGCCAGAGGAAGGAGCTCAGGGTCAAAGGAAGGACAGTGAGTCCAGTTGAGGGTGTGTAGAGACAACTTTTGGTTGTCAGCTTGCCAATGTTAGTGTCACCCTGCTATCTGGAATCTTCCTTCATTTCATTAATGAATTGTCCAGCAGCACACAGCTGGGTTAGCATATTGGAGAGCCTGCTCTGAGTGCACAGTTCAGTACCTCAGCAAACAGCAATGCTCTTGCAGCTGCGGTCACTTGGAAAGGAAGAACAGTTTCCATGCAGTTCCTTTACAGTCACCTGCCATTATGGTGAGACCACATGTCCCAGCAAGGGACATCATGCTGACAACATGGAGCTGGAGCTTATGTGTCTGAGGCCCTCTGGGGCTCTCTGAATAGAGTACATGGTGGCCACCACAGGTTTTTCCAGCACAGTGGAGATAGTTTTCCCGTGAGCGTGATATGCCAGCAGATGCAGAAAAAGGGAAGGTTCTGACTAAACTTCTTCCAAAAAGATCATTTCACCTGGAAAATGCAGTTTCGATAAATGCAATCATAGTGTGATCAAAATTCCATCCATGCTGAAACTATGTTTGAAAGAAAGAAAAGGAGTAATATTTTGAAATACAGAGGTGTCATATAGTGGATTGCATCTTCTAGAGGTTGTTTTATCTTTACTAGAAATATTTTGGAGTTCTTGTGCTATGACATTTTTAATTCCCTTATCCCTTAAAGGAATAATAACTTTAGAATACCTAATAATAATAATAGTTTGATAACAATGCTATTGACCAATTTCTCCCTAGCCCTATATAATTTCTCTATAACCCTTCTGGCTTCAAGATCCATAGATTAATAATTTTTGTAACTGCACCATTTATAAGGTGCAGAGAGATTCTTTTTGGCAGTCCCAGTGTTGCATTATATTTCATGTGGAAAAGTAGAACTTTTCCAGATACGCAATCACAGATTTTTGTGATTTTTAAGATTGACCTTGATATAGCCAGAGCAAAATTATACTGACCATAAACAATTGTGAAATCATTTGATCAGTATTAAACAGAGTATGGAAATACTCATTTTTCAGTCTCCAAAGGATTATTAGCTATTTTAGAAAATGTAAATGTCTGAACAAAACTCTCGAAAAACAGTGCTTGTGCAAGAGCTCGTTTTGTTTCCAAAGTATCTCTTCACTTCCCACACACATTCAGCCCACCTCTGGGTAGATATTTAAGGCAGAGAGCTTCAGGCTGTTTGTACAATGAAGCTGGTGAGAGGCAATCTTTCATCCAGTCACAAAATTGTGCCCTTAGAATACAACCTATGAAAACAGCTAATATGATAATTAAATTATTTGAAAAGATACCTCATAAAATGAATCGTTCCACATCAGCTCAGTAATAAAAGTAATCTTACTTTCAGAAAGTGCATTTTATCTTGAAGAGTTCCAGAGCTCCACAGCTGCCAGCACTTTGCACGTGTCCAGCCATACATCACTGCCGGTGAAAGGCTCTCCTTCCCACAGGGAGGACGGCCAGTGTTCATCATGGCATGCACTGTAACCCGCCAATGATGGGGGAACTGAAAGCCAGTTTTGGCATAGGGAGAGGAACGCATGCCTGTTATCAGTGCTGTTTCTCAGAAAGGGTGTGCTAGTGCAATCAGAGCCACTGCAGAGGCCTTGTGCGTACCTCCTGTTGGCTCATAGAGCCACAGAATGGCTTGGGTTGGCAGGGACCTCAAAGACCACCTAATTCCACCCCCCCTGCCAAGGGCAGGGACACCTCCCACCAGACCAGGCTGCTCAAAGCCCCATCCAGCCTGTCCTTGAACACCTTCAGGGATGGGACATCCACAGCTTCCCTGGACAACCTGTGCCAGTGCCTCAACACCCTCTGGTCACCAGCAATTTACCCTCACCAACATTTTACCCTTGTAGTAAAATGCCGTGTAACCAGCATTAGAAGCTCTGTACTTACACAAAGACGATTTGAGCATTGATTTGTATACAGCATGTTGGACTTCATGACTGCAGCCTGGATATGAGGATTTCTCCCAGTCTGATGGGGGTTACAAAAACCTGCAACCTGATCAACCTGATACCTAATCTAGAAGAAAACAAAAGAAATCTGAAGAAATGCTTTAGCTCAATACTTTTTTTTTATTTTTTTTCCCTCTTTTTACACTAAGAAGTGGGGAGGTTGCCTACCTCTTTGTTAGATCAGAGTCTCAGAGTCCCAACGACCACACCCTGGGACAACACCATGACACAGTGCCACCATATTTTTCCACTTCTGATTCTCCTTCTTTGAAAATATACTTTCAAAGCCTTATTGGTTGGAAGAAAGTAGCACCTATCCAAACTCCTCATCCAGAGAGTAGATAGTGTCTGTTCAGACACAACAGTGTGTTCATCATGCCTTTGATGAGCCTTGGCTTGTCACAGGTCTAATTTTATCAAGAACTATGTTAGTGATTTATAGCGATGCTTCAGATTGCCCTTTAGTGTGGAGTTTTTTATTGGTAGCCAGGATCTTCTCCTATTGCTACATACAACTTTCACAAGTGCAGTGAAAGGAAAAGGAGAAATAAAGTTCAGCATTTCCCTGCTTTTCCAGCTTTGTCCATTCTATTTTCTGATTCTCTTCACCTCACCAGTTTTGTAACATGATCAAAGCACTTGTATGAGGACTTTACAATCTTGCTGTAGACTGAAGTTCGGGGTACCATGTTCATTCCTACAGAAGAACAACTTAAAGTTGATGAGCTTGGATGTATCTGAGTCTTAGATAATTGCATTTTCACACTTCTCAGAACCAGCTCTAGAGAAAGATACTGCACTATTTCTGCTCCTTCAGGCTAATATTTTTCTTGATTGCCCTCACACCAAATATGCACACAAAGCCACATTTCCACTGGTGTTTTCTTTAAATTAGCCTTGAGGAGAACAAATAATTTCTGCTTGTTTCACCCACATACTGTGGGTAAAGATGAGCACAGAAGTGTAACAGAGAGTCTACTTATTATTCTGTTGTAACTGTATCTCAGAGGTAGACAATTGCCCTAGGCTTAGATTTTCTAAAAATTTATGTGTATCAGAAGGGATCTTGTACAGGCAAAAAGCAGCAAGTTGATTTTTCCAAGAGCAGCTTGCCATTTTAAGCAGTTGTTGGCTTAATAAGTGAAATAGCTTAGGGCTATATGCATGCCATAATGATTGCATTTTGTAAGAGAAGACTGTGCCTATGGGCCTCAAAGTTTCAGAGCCAAGACTAGTCATATTTGTGGTCTTTAACTTGCAACCCCAAGCTATTCTCACCACCATAGATAAGGGGTAGCTGATCATAGAATAACACTGATTTTAAAGTAACTAACCACAGCAAAATTAAAATGACCTAGTCAAGTAATACAAAGAGTATATGATTGACAAGATAGCTGTTCTTTGAAATGTACTGCAGGCAGTAAATAACACCTATGCCCATAAGCTATTTTCTATCTTAAAGCCAAGAATAATGATCTGGCATCTGTCCTTCCTGAGTGAGCTTCATTTCTGAAATCTACAACTGCCTCCCAAATGCCTCTGGAAATGATAGTGATGGTGTGCTCATGGATTGTAATTATATCACAGGACTCTCTTCTTTTTTTCAGTAGCAATTCTCTCTAATGTAAACAGCTGCACAGTGCTGCAATGGGAGGTTTCATCTCATATGCTTGCACTGAAGCAGATTTAACTTGTATTTCCTTGGGATGGGCAGTGAGACAAGGAAATGCAATAGCAGCAGGTCCAATTTCTAGTTTATCTTTGTCCCCATCATAATTCAAGGGGCAGCTAAGGTTTCGTTGAACTACAGTCTAGATAACTTTTCCTAATGCCACAGAGTTCAAACAGCTGCCAAGCTTTTCTGTGCAATCTCTTTCTCACAAAAAAAAAAAAAAAAAAAAAAAAAAAGACTGTATACAGCTCCGGTGCATACAATTGGATTGCATGCACACAAGGTATGTATTCTGTGCAATGCAATACAGGCTGTGGTCTGTGTGTATCATGGCATGAAACACAGGGGGCTTGCATCTTGCCTCAGGTCTTCTACATGTTTTTTATTCAGAAGGGCTCTTCTTCCTCATATTGTCTTACCAGGACCAGGGAATGGCTGCAGAAAATAAAAGTTGGAGACTATTCTGCTGCTTATTTCTGCTGAAATAGCTTCAATGCATTGCTTGTCACTATAATGTTTGCGTCCAGTGTCCTCTTGTGTTTCATGGTGCAAATACAGTCACAGAGGGGAGTGAACTCTTCCTACCCAGACAACTGATGCACAGCGGCCAAGAGCACATTTCTCCATATCACCAGCTGGGTCTGCGGCCATGGCAGGATCTGCCTTTGGCACTTTGGCAGCCCTTCCCAGCACCTGAACTGCAAGACCATTCTCCTCTTATGGAAGCAATAGGAATCCGGAAATGCTAGTAAAACATAAGATTTTTAGCTTTTTTTTTTTTTTTTTTCCTTTCTTTCTTCGCTAGTATATGTTGGAATGCAACCTGATGAACAGAAAGATCTTGGAACATGTCAGATGACTTTGTAGAAAGCAAAATGCTCCCTCTTTCAGGACTGGTATGTTTTCTGATGTTGTCATGGATCTTTTTCCTTTTTTTTTTTTTTTTTTTTTTAAGGAAAAAAGGAGAATTGTAACTTCCTTTACACCAGTACATTAGCATAATACGTTCCTGCCTTCAGGTAGTGTATGTCATTGTTATGAGTACATTTTGACATCTCTCACACTTCCAGAACTCCAAAGGTCCATGACAGAGCTGAATGAAAATTTTTTTTTTTTTTTTTTTTTTTGACTTGGCAAGAGCAGTAAGAACACATAAAACCTGCCAGCTGTCAAGGATGTAAATGGTGATTTTGTTTCACTTTTTTAATGAATTAAAGCAGGATTGAAATCTGTCCAAAGACAGCATGTTTGGCCTTGCAAGGAAAGAAAAAATTGAAAGGGAGGGATTTTTTTCCTCTCTTTTGGCACTTATGCTCAATACAGTGTTTATTCTTGGTAGCACAGTATAGGCCAGAGCTTCTCTACTGAAAGAGCTGTGGTCATCAGGCTCAGACACCTTACCTGGGACTGGTTTTTGAGAGAGGGAAGACTAGGAGGATCAAAAACAAAATAAAATAAAATAAAATCTACGCCTTATTTCAAGATGGGCACCTGAAAAATGCAGAACCCATCACTGTTTTGGAGAAGGGTCATAGCAACTAGCTGGTAGAAATGATTTCATATGTTAATTACACTGTCATTGACTATCATTGAAGCAAAAATAAAATTGGAGGGCATATACCTTTCTTCTTAAAAAAATGTTTTTTTTGTCCTACTGATGGTGCTTTTTTGAGGTTTGGTGGGGGGAGGATCTCTCATCTGTAAGGATGGCATTCTTTAGCTTTGAGTGGGGTTGTTCTCTCTGATTTTCTGGTCTCAAAGTCTAGAAATGATATGGGTTATAGCTTCTAGGAGATGTCCTGAGTGTTCACACATTCTGTGTGATGTCTCTGTGGAAAAAAAAAAAAAAAAAAAAAAAGGCGTCTGTTCTGAGTTCGTCTACATTGCACATCCTTAACCTACATTTCCTGCTATTGAAAAGTTAACTCCAAAGCTTGGTTGGGATAGAGTGGTTGTTCTGTAAATTGCCTGCAATTTAACTCCCATTTTCTTTCCTAGCTTCTTAAATTTTGCAATTGAAATGCCTTTGGCCATTATCCATGATTCGAGGTGATTGCTCTGCTTGTGACTGAGACATTATGTTCTTATATGCCTTCTTATTTGGCCACTCAAATTGCACATGCAAATGCACAGCTTGTCTTGTACTGAAATCTTACTCTATATCACATGTTCACACAAACACAGTGCACACCTTTCTATACATGAGTATACTCCTCTTTGGCGGTGAAAGCATGGTAAAATATTTGCCAGGTGCTTTGCTTTCCACACCATGATTTCCGTGAAGGATTTTCAGATGATGTCCCATTCAAGGACTAGCTGGTTTCAGATCATAGTTCCAAGGCTCTTATATGGTTATTGGTTGTTTCAATACTTTAAAAACTGAACTTCACTTGTATGAACACACGCAGGGAGAAATGAAGCTGGTTCCTTTGGAAAATGTAGCACTTCACATCAGAATAATTCTGTATTGACTGATGATCCTGTACCAAAGGTCATCCTGGAGGCACAGTTCAGATTTGGAATTGGTTCAAGCCCAGCGCAAGCACATTTTGAATAATTTGGGCTGAGCTGATCTTCTGTGCAGTGCAGAAGAGGTTCCTGTGTGCCTGGCAAGTGGTGCATGGAGTAGACGAGCTCTTGCAAAGATTTACAAACAGGCTTCATTTTATGACTTGTGAACAAACCTATTAATTCAAAGTGACATCTCAGGGAAGTCATGCCCAACCTGTACTTCAGCCAGATGGTTTAGACAAAATAAAAGTGAATAAATTTTTTTCAGACAAAACAAAAAGGAATTGTAACTTCTTCCCAGAAGTCAAGATGAACCTGAATTTCTGAAGAAATTTGTAACTCCCTTTTCCTCCCCTCACCTCTCAGCCTCCTAAAACCTTGGCACCTACTCACTTTAGCTGAAACAGAAAGGCTCTTCTCAGATTTCCAGCCAGTCTTCAAGTAGGAAGTAGAGAAAATCTTGCAGGAAAGCCTAATCTTATGAGCTTTCCAGGCAGACTTTCTGAATAAAGAGTCTTACACATCCCAGTTATTTACTAAGTCTTCTGAGAACCTTCCATCCCC